ATCTTTATGTTTTGTAAAGGAGCGTTCCATCTGTTCACTACATTTGGGTAACTTTAGTTTTTGTATTCAAATTGACCACCGCAGGATTTATTTGATAACGTCCATAAGGCTGAGGGCTGTCCGGATTATTATTATTATTTTTTTTTTTTATGGTGTTCTTACTGTTCACCCTATCAAAAGTGAAGGGATAGGAGCTACAGTTTGAGGTATTCTGATTGAGCCTCACTGTTTGAGGCTGTGGACAGGTGACTTTTATACAGATAACAAGCTCAACCAGGTTCCATTATTACAGCTAACGAGTGGAGGATAGAAGAGCTTCTTAAAGAAGTCTGTCAGTGGAAAACATCGTGCTTGTTTATACTTACTTTTCACCATAAACAAGTTGTTTTTAATCCTACAATGCGATTTATTTCTTCTCTCATATTTAAAGTGAACCCATGATATAACAGCTCTCATCATCATCAGTAGCTGACACTGTAGCTAACTGGGTCATGATGAAGCGACTCATTCATAGTTCACCAGCAACATGTGCTAAACTCATCCTGCAGCTCCAATCTAAACTAGAATATCAAACACCTGAAATAAATATATGTAGGTACATCTTAAAAATAAAAGTGCAATATTCGGTGAAACTCGTTTTTATATAAACAATACACAGGGTGATATATTCCGGTCTTTTATTATTGTAATGATGATTAAGTCCTACAGATTAAACAAAAGTTAGTGAGTCAGAAAATAATACTGTAAAACAAAAGGTATTTATTTGAAATAATATGGTGTCACAACTTAATCCACTGCTGCCATGTTGTTTTCAGAGTTACTGCCTGAACAAACGTATTTATGTTCAGTTTTAATTGTATTTGTTATCTAGGGGGAAAACCCTTAATTGCCTAAGTTTGCGTTTACCAAATTAGCAGAAAATCAACAGTTTTGCGCTCCTTTCTAATGGAAATGCAGCTGCTGTCAGTAGTGTCTTTTCTGGTCTAAGAAAAGCAGCTAAACTGTTGCTTTGCATCCAAAGTCCTGTTTTCAGATTAAAGTAATTTATGTATTTCACTTTGTAATTCAGGTTTCAGGGTCTGGAGAGAGAGAAGAGGCCATTATCATCTGCTGGTGTAGGTCAACTGGGTTCTCTGAAGTCCTTTGATTGATTCAGTTCTGGTCTTTATTGGTCAGTCTGATGACCTGAAGGCAGCTATCAAAAACAATGTGGACCTCCATTACTTCTACACGGGGCCGCAGGCTGATCGCCTCCATCCACGGTGAATACGGTTCACTAGCCTGACATTTATGCTTAAAACAAGATTTTCTGAGACGCACACTTTTCTTACATTTTCTTACAATAAAAAAAAAAGCCTCAAATATGTCACTATTTATAATGAATATGTGAAATAACAGTTTCACTTCCTGAGATGAATAAGAAGTATTACCCTTTTATACAGTATTTAACTTTTTTTCAGCTGTAGCTGTAATCCATAAATCTTCCCATAGCCCCACATCTCTTCCTCTTTAGATGGTTTTGGTCATTTTGATCTTTACTTTCAAAGATGTTCCTTTTTTTTCAAAATAAAGTCAAATCCTGAATAGCTAACTAAATCCTTATTACGGTAAATATATCTCTGTGGTTTTGTTACGAAACAGCAGGATGATCAGCCTTCCGTTCATAAGCTGCACAGAGGAAAACCGCTATGTTAGTTTTACAGGTGAGTTTAAAGAAACCTTTTATTCCCAAACAGAGCGCCGTTAAAATGGGAAATGATTGACTGTCCATCCATTAATCTGTCCATTCCTCCATTGGTTGATCAATCGTTCCGTTCATTTCATCACATCTATCCTTTCATTTGTTTATCCATCCATTATTCTTTCCAAATAGAAAGATCTGCCATAAATTAATAGTTTTGACTGTGTATATTGGCAGTGAGTTTAAAACACTGAAAAAAGAACAGCCTGGACATTTTTTTAATGTATAGTTGTTGAACAGTAGCAATATTTTACCTTTTTTAAAATCAGATATTTGCTTGAATTTACCTAAAGCAATAAAACTTTCTGATTACAATCACCAAAACAGTTTCCAGCCAAACAAGTTCAGACTACTAGATCTCAGCATCCTGGTCATTGAACCTTGAATAAAGGATTTAAAACAAAATATAAACTAATTTCAAACCCGACTGTACAAAATTTAGATGCAGTGTTAATGTTTCAACTATCCTTATAACAAACAACTTTTCTCATTGTAAAAGATATTAGAGATGTTTAATAAGCTTTAACAACTTTTCGTACTTTTTATTTCATATGGAAGCTCAAAATAAAAAAACTTTACTCATACACCTAAAGGAATAAATAGTTTTTGTCCAAATTTAGAGGATCTGTTATTTGTGTTGGCTTCGGAGTGTTTTACCTCTGCAAGTCAGACCAGAACAGAAGCTTAAAGATTTTAACATCATGAGCTTCTAGATTGTTGGTTTTAGTGGTAATAAATGTTCTGCAATTAATCCTCAAAATTGGTGGGAAAAATAAGATTATAGGATTTGAACCAGCAGCTTTTTGAAGACGCTAAACTTTGTTAAAGAGTGAATATATTTAACCTTTTAAGGTTTTTAAACATCCCACAGACCAGTAACACTGAAGTGTTAATGGTTGAATAAGGAAGGCAGCACATATTGAGAGCTTCCGTTTAACAGTTGTTGTTTTTTTTAAACATGTATATATTATCCAACTGAAGCAGTTCAGGTTATTAAATTGCTGCTCAGGTTGTGACATGTCTAGATACACTATATTGCCAAAAGTATTTGCTCACCTGCCTTGACTCACATATGAGCTTAAGTGGCATCCCGTTCCTAATCCATAGGGTTCAATATGACGTCGGTCCACCCTTTGCAGCTAGAACAGCTTCAACTCTTCTGGGAAGGCTGTCCACAAGGTTTAGGAGTGTGTTTATGGGAATTTTTGACCATTCTTCCAGAAGCGCATTTGTGAGGTTGCACACTGATGTTGGACGAGAAGGCCTGGCTCTCAGTCTCCGCTCTAATTCATCCCAAAGGTGTTCTATCGGGTTGAGGTCAGGACTCTGTGCAGGCCAGTCAAGTTCATCCACACCAGACTCTGTCATCCATGTCTTTATGGACCTTGCTTTGTGCACTGGTGCACAGTCATGTTGGAAGAGGAAGGGGCCAGCTCCAAACTGTTCCCACAAAGTTGGGAGCATGGAATTGTCCAAAATGTCTTGGTATGCTGAAGCATTCAGAGTTCCTTTCACTGGAACTAAGGGGCCAAGCCCAGCTCCTGAAAAACAACCCCACACCATAATCCCCCCTCCAACAAACTTTACACTTGGCACAATGCAGTCAGACAAGTAACGTTCTCCTGGCAACCGCCAAACCCAGACCCGTCCATCAGATTGCCAGATGGAGAAGCGCGATTCGTCACTCCAGAGAACGCGTCTCCACTGCTCTAGAGTCCAGTGGCGGCGTGCTTTACACCACCGCATCCGACGCTTTGCATTGCACTTGGTGATGTATGGCTTGGATGCAGCTGCTCGACCATGGAAACCCATTCCATGAAGCTCTCTGCGCACTGTTCTTGAGCTAATCTGAAGGCCACATGAAGTTTGGAGGTCTGTAGTGATTGACTCTGCAGAAAGTTGGCGACCTCTTCGCACTATGCGCGTCAGCATCCGCTGACCCCGCTCCGTCAGTTTACGTGGCCTACCACTTCGTGGCTGAGTTGCTGTCGTTCCCAAACACTTCCATTTTCTTATAATACAGCTGACAGTTGACTGTGGAATATTTAGGAGCGAGGAAATTTCACGACTGGATTTGTTGCACAGGTGGCATCCTATCACAGTTCCACGCTGGAATTCACTGAGCTCCTGAGAGCGACCCATTCTTTCACAAATGTTTGTAAAAACAGTCTGCATGCCTAGGTGCTTGAATTTATACACCTGTGGCCATGGAAGTGATTGGAACACCTGATTCCAATAATTTGGATGGGTGAGCAAATACTTTTGGCAATATAGTGTATGTGTAAGCGTGCAGGTGGTTATACTGTACGCACGCACAACCCCAGTGAAGGGAAAATACACCAAGTTCCTTTTAATTCCAATTTACACTGATTTTTTTTCTGTTTAATAACAGTAAATAAGTCAAGGGTTTTTTGTTTTTTTAAGGCATATAAAACCATTGTACTTTGTATTGTATCTTGTATTTTAATAATATGCCAAGATCTTCTGAAGCCAAATCAAAGGTCTCGGTCTTAAAGCTAGTTTAAATGGATAAACGAAACTAAACCAAAACAGCCCAACAGGTTTGAGCTCCTCCCTCCGACGGCTGGAGGAGGAATGATAGAAATCTCTTTACACAAGCTTTAAGTTTTCTCCTTCCAGTGTTTGTGTGTCGTTTGATGTGTGGGACAGGTTGCTATGGTAACATGCCCCACGTTCTCCCCTGAACTCTGATCTATTTAACATCAACTCCCTCTGCAGGAAACAGACCATCAATAACGGCTAACAGTCATTCAGTCTTTTATTTTTTTATAAAGCTTTATTGGATTGCATGTTTGAATTAAGCTTTTTTCAAATTTCCTTGACATCATTCAAGAGAGAAAAAAAAAGGGATTCTCCAGAATAGCACAGCAGCAGCTTATGTTGCTGTAAATAAAGAGGAACTTCAACCAAAAACAAAACGAAGACAATTATAACTTTCAAGGTTTTCAAGAACAGCAGTGCGCAAAACGAAATAAAAAATATATTTGAAAGAAAAAATATAAAGTAAAAAATAATTATAAAACACATTTATTGTTTGATTTTTTGAGCTCTTAGGAGTCAAGTTGAAAATATTTTAATTTTCTTGATTTTTTTTAACCAAAGTTTTATTTATTTGCATTAGTTCAAAAACAGACAACTGTCGATTATCTTTATATTCATCGGATTACCACTGTTTTCTAAGAAAACCAAAGTAAATGCATGAATAAAATAGAAAACATTATTATTAACATTATTTTACCAAAATCAGTAGTTTAACTATATAAGGTCCTTGTGTTGAACAGAAGCTCCTGTTGACAGGAGTCATTAGTGTTTATTTATCCAACCTGAGCTGATTTGTTTTCTGTTCCATTTCTTGTAAACATGCACCTCAACTGCGCACAGTTTTACTGAAAAGACCTTAGTGTCTCCACAAATCTTAACAATTACAACATAATAAACTAACAGTGAGATCCGCCTGAGTGACTCGTGTTTCCTGAGGGTTACTCAAGTTGCTGTAGCTTCTTCTCTCACCCCGTTTTGGATCTCAGCTCTTTCTAAAACCACCAGCGGAGCCTGGGTGGCGGAGGCGTCGCGGGCGGCGCCACATCGAAGACCGAGCCCTGTCCGACAGACGCGCACACGAAGTAGAGGTTGGCGCCCAGCATCACCAGTATGGGGAAGAAGGAGAAGCCGAAGCCAAAGCCCCTGATGCTGCTTTCCAGAGAGAGGCAGAGCCAGTAGATGAGCCTGCAGAGCAGAGGGAGGCATGAGCCTCACGTCAGGAACAGGAACGATCAGCAGGATCTCTGGGCTTTATTCAGGAACACCGAAAAACTTAAATAAGAGAGGTGGTGCTGCACTTTTAAAAATCAGGCTTTCAGCTCAATTACTTCTTTGAAAGCAGTGTTGTTTCTTTTTGTATTTCATCCTCATAAATAACTGGATGGCTTAAAAAAAAAAATAATAATAATAATAATTAACATAAAAGCAAATAAGCCATTAACAGTTTTGCAACATAAACAAGCTTGATTATCAAGTAAAACATAACCTCTTTAGACAAGCAGGATCTGATTAATAACTCCTTAACAAGCAAACCCCTCCAGACTATCAACGGTTAACGACAAGAAAGTTACATAAGGAAACGAGGAGCTGGAAAAAAAAATTCCGATGATGACTCACTGATTAGTTTGGGAGATAAAAGCAACACATGAACTCTGCCAAGACAAAGCTGCGTTTGTCACTGATAAGGAGCCATTTGTCTATTAAGACCATCCAAAGTACAAGACAACACCAGAAGTAATATCATTTGGTTTAAAGTGAGCTGACTACATTCGTGGTCTACATAAACAACTTCAGTTATTTGGTTCTCCTAACCTGGTATGACACCCTGTAGGTTTTACTTTGAATGAATTTATATTAGAAAAACTCCTGGGGTCTGTTTCAGGAAGCAGGTTTAACAAACTCAGATTCAAATCTGCAACTCTAAATTGATCTAACCTAAAGTCAGGAACTCTTGAGTTTTCGGTTACGCAATGGCTGCTATGAATTAGTCCAATAAACTGTAAATAGGTCCATTTAGAGTTAAACGCGTGCGTAACAAGCATGAAAAGCCATTATCAGTGGAGCCCGGTTTTCACGGGTTACCATGACAACAGTAAGTGCCTATTTCACCCCACTGGAACCAGAGAATTTAATGCAGAAATTAAAAAAAGGAGAATGTGTTTAACAGAGAAAGAAACAGCGCTACAGCTGCAAAGGAGAGGAAGATGGTGAAGAAGATTGTTGCTCAAGTTAATGCAAAAGTTTATATGAAGTGGGAAGACCGTTTTTATATTTATTAAAAGCACTCTTCTCTCTGTTGTTCCGTTTGTAGATCACTAAAATAAGATTCCTCCTGATCAAAATCACAATCCTGCACTGAACTGTAATAACATATTTTCTAAATTACATTTTTGCAGGAGAAACTGAATTTCAGAAAATAAAAAACAAAATTATGCTAGAAAGAATTTAGTTTTATATACCTAGGAACTTTTATGCAATATAATTGTATTAAAATTTTTTTAACACTAAATTAACTCAAGAAGGCTTTATCTTATGTTTTTGTAAGTCATCATGAAATCCTTTGTGCTTCATGTTTTGTATGTTTATTTACCAAGGATGTAAACAAATAACTGTTTATTAGATATAAATTTGTTCCTCCAATTAATGTCAGTTTAAAGGGAATTTCTTTCAGTGTTGCAATATTACCGTCATCCACTAGAAGATGCTGTTCATTCTTATGCTGCGTTCCCACCAAAGGTGTTAGGAGCGTCAAAAAACATGCAAACGCAGAAACTTGGATGCTGGGTCAGACGCTGGATCATCTGCTCCGTTTTGTAGCTTAAAGATAGAGAGCAGCTTAGCTTCATTTACTTTATTAGTTTTTCTGTATGCTGTACTACCCTCATTAAATTTAGGCATATTGAACTCATCGATGGGCTACAAATTCTGTCGGGGATATCTACCTTTGCACGACACCGGCAGTTTGTGGGTGATTTCCCGCTGCCCTTTGTAGCGGCTGGAAGTGAATATAAAGTTTTTAAGGTTAGTGGTAAAAAACGCAACTACCAGAATATACAATCGAATATTTTTTGATCGACAGCTTTTAACATTTCTAGTTAATTTTGGCATTTATAAACATTTTCAACATTGTTCTGAGGCTGGCAACCCGTGGCTCCGGATCTGTGGATCTTTAGCCTGAGAGAAAAAGTGTGATTACAGAACTTCTGGATAAATTAGACGAGCGCAAAGATAGATTTAAGAAGTGGATTGCATCTTCAAACTCCACTACTGCTGCTAGTTTGGTTGCAAGGATGGAAAAGCGTCCACAGATCAAACAGGTAGCGCTCTGATGCAGGTATGTGAACTTTCTTCCATCTTTCCCCAAATCCTCAAAATATAAATCACACCAAGGAATGCTGGTGACAGAGGATGTGGGATTTCAGGGTTAGAGAGCTCTGCTCTGATGGATGTCAGTTCCTGCTTGGTTCCTTATGACTCAATCAACTCCTCCCAACAGAAACACATCCACCATAGAAAGAATTCTTTATTGTTTTTCTATAATTTCATCAGTGCAACAAAACCTAAACTGCATAGTGAAGAGTGGTGAAGCGGCGCGCGGTGAGAGTGTTCACTGCTCGTCCGTCACCTCATGCTGCTATGTGACATTTGCTCCAGGATAAACATTTAATCATGAATGCTTATTATATATTTAAGCCCACATAGTCCTTTTCTATAGAGGGATAATACACTTAGGGCCGGATCTATCAAAGGTTTGCGTGTATAAAAACGTGAGCTATTTCACTGCGCACGCTAAAAAATTTACAAACTGATCTATCAACAGCGTGCTAAAAGGATTTGGTCTTTAAAACGTGCTAAATAGCGCCTCTTATCCATTTAGTACTTTTTCTGCAATGAATATGCAGTATGGGGCGTTTACACGCAAAAGTGCGTCTTGTGGGAGGAGAACATGTAAATATATTAATTTAGCACTCGCAAAGAGATTTATCAAACCTGAAAGCAATTTTGCTAACGCTATCTGACTCTATATTTAACACGTTTCAAAAGAAGGTGCAAAAGGTCTGTATGCGTAATTGCGCACACATGGCAGCGGTTATTGTCGCAAGAAGGAGACATCGAAATGAAGCAAGGAGACGCAGAGAACGCATTTTTTCACTCCGTGTAAATATTTTTTGAATGAACGAGGAAACGATCATCAAAACATATCGTATATCCAGCATTGCCATTTTGGAGCTGTTGGGGGAACTCCGAATGGATTTGGAGCCAGCCACAAGGAGGACCCACGCAATACCAGATATCACAAAATTCCTTGCAACATTGCACTTTTTTGCATTTGGGTCATTCCAGCGTACGGTTGCAGCGAGAGCTGGGATCTCCCAATCTCGTTTTTTCAGAAGTGCTGTCCGACGGGCTCGGGGTTCTCCCCCTGCGCCTGTGGAGCAACGTGCCAAATGCTGCGGGGATCTCATCCACACTCACAGGCCAATACAAAACACCTGTTTTTTTTTTTTTTTTTTTTTTACTGCAGCACATACCACCTTAGGGAATAAAGGTTGCCAATTTATATATATATATATATATATATATTTTATTTTAGTTATTTTTTTTTTTTTTTTGTTGGGGGTCACTGTAAGATTTAAATTTCTTAATGCACTAGTAGTTTGTACAGACTACAAACTACTTTGCCACAAACCACAAAACGCGCAAAACCATCATTTAAATAGGGCGTCTCCGACAGTTTTGCACCTGCCACCAGTTACGCAATCACTCTTGTTAAATCACCCGCAAACCATGGTTCAGCCCCTCGCGCAAAATTCCAGTTTGCGAGCGCAAATTACTGCACGCAAAATTGGATCTTGATAAATCCGGCCCTTAGAGCCTGTGTTGCCATAAGAGGCTGATAGAGGAGTTTTACATTTTTGCACCTCCAGACAAATTTATTTTTTCCTTTTTTGGTCCAATATGGCTCTTTGTGCAGTTTGGGTTGCCGACCCCTGCCATAGTACATAAAAAAATGTTTTAGTGCAGCAATAATGATCAGAGCTCACTCCCTGTTCCTTCTACACAATCCATTCTTCTGGCTATTTTCTAACCTTTGGAGTATAACTCCCGTCATGTTTATTAATTTTCCATATGCAGAATCTCTGCAGAGGCAATGACAGCTTGCAGGTAGTGTATCCCTGCCTAAAAAAAAATGAATCAGCTTTTCTGATTAGTTGACTATCTGGCATCCAGCGCCAAAAGTTCAATTTACCAAAAAACTCCAGCGGCAAACGCTCAGATAATCCGACATTCGGGTGCAGGAATGCAGGAATGCTCGAACGCGCCGCTCCTAACGCTCGGACAGTCCGGTGGACTTCTCGACTGCGCCCCCCGTATACTTTGTATGTAAACCTGACGCTTTGACGCCCTGAATGCGCCTGGTGTGAACACAGCATTAAGCGGAGCCTCGTGTATTTGCATGAGAAGTAACTCAGGAGCAAAGTGATGCTAAAATTTGAAGGGATGCAAAGTCTACAATTATTTACGCTGTGGATGCGGGATTAACCTAATGTAGTTCTGTTTGCAAATAAAAAGACTCGGTAAATACCTTATCCTGTATTTTAATGATAGTTTTTACATCTCTGCACACTGGAAATCACATGTTGCACATATTTTATCTTTTTTTTATTCAGTAGGTCACTAGGTTCCTGTTTAGTTATCTTCTAAATATGTCTAGTTTAATAATGTGTAAGAGATGATTTTTGTTTGTTCATTCAATCGGTATTTAACACAGCTGGTACAAGACATTTTAAAACATAATGATGTACTCATTTTTTTATTTCTTAATTCAGCATATTGAAAATATATATATATATATTTAGCCCTTCAGGTTTTCCTTTCCCTAGCCTTTGTCAGGGTTCCTACAGCATAAGGCAAGTTGAATTCAAGACCTTTTAAGACTTTTTAGTGCCACTTAAAATAAAAATTGAAGACCAACTGTACAATAAACACAAAAAAACAAATTTACCCCAAATGTTTATTTTAACATAAACCATTACTTTCCTACCCAGTAGATGTGTTTCAAATTTTTGAAAAACTTTCCATATGGGAAGAAAACTAAAAACACACAAATAACAGATATATATGTAACTAGTGTTGCGCCGATGCCATTTTTTGGCCCAGATACCGGCTGTGCAGTATTGGCCGATACCGATACCATCTGTTTGAAATTGATGTGTGTGTTTATATATATATATATATATATATATATATATATATATATATATATATATATATATATATATATATATATAAATATGAAGAACTGCATACTACTTGGATGTAAAATAATTGCCATCATGGCTTTGTAAAGCTGCTGCCTACCTTTGTGAAGCAGGAAAAAGACGAATACAAAGTGAATCCAGTAGAACTTTTTATTGCCTGCCTGGAATGGGTGACAGTAGTTGAATAAACTTTTGGCTCTCAAAATGGTATCGGTGCCCTAGTTGTTTTTACTCGCCGATACTGATACCACCATTTTAGTGCAGGATCTGTGCCCCGCCCGATGCTGGTATCGTTGCAACACTATTTGTAACAACTTTTTTTGTTTCCTTCTCAATCCCTCTACTTTCATTGTCGCCATACAGCCAAACATTATCCGGAGATTTGGTTCTACTGGCGCTGTTTTGAGTTTCAAGCTTCACAGACGTGTCTCCACTGCCTTGATTCGCATCGTGCTTCATCTACATTCCCTGGCAGTGGTTTTAGCCGTGCAGAAAACTCTTGGATAGATTGCTTATTTTTTATTTAATTTAAACTTCCCCATGTTGTCCAGATAAAAAAGTTAGTGGCACATCACCCATAGGTCCGGCTGCAACATTGTTTTTACTGGTTCCACTATCGGGAGGGAACCAATAACAGTTACAGCGAACGGTTTGGTAAATGTAAGAAAAATATTGTCAATTATTTTAATGCTCGATATAGATTACAAAAATAAAATTCTATTTATGATGAGGTAACTATTTTAAGACCTATGAAAACCTGATTTAAGACATTTTAATACCAATTAAGGCCTTGATTTTATATTGAAGAATTCAATGCCAATGGATCTGCAGGAACCCTGCTTTGTACAAAACTAAAAACCATCTAGGGAAAGGCTTTGCAAAACATTTAACTTAACATTTTTCTCTATATAAACTACCTACTAATCCACATTAAATGTACAGGTAAAAATATTAGCAAGAAACTGTCACCCTTTTCGGTTTACAGTGTTGCTGATTTTACTTAAGTGATAATGGCTTTTATCCAAGCATATAACTAAAACAGAGTAAAAACTATTAGAATCTAATATTTAAAAAATATAGATTTCCATGAAGTGTTATAAAGTTTTCACAGCAGATGTATAAAACCTAAAGCTTGGTTTCAGTGAAACAATAGTTTGTTTTTATAAATTACAGGATGCAGATAAAAATCACACCTACCTGCCGAAAACAAATATGATGCTGAGCAGAGGCACCAGCTTAACCAAGTCCTGGCTGATGTAGGTTCCCATGACAGCAAGCTGCAGGAAGTAGAAAAGGAAGAGAGACAGCGACTCGTTGACGTAGTGCCAGTGAACCATCACTTCCTTGTTCACCAGGTTGCCCTGATAGAGGGGCTTCAGAGCGCTGAAGCGCAGCCGTGCAATTCCCTGGACCATCACACCTGCACAGACACACCTGCCCTTCAATACAGGATATCAGAGCAAGATTCACTAGACGCATCAGGGATGTCTTACCAAGGATGATTGGGATGATGGCAAAAAAGGAGCAGCGGAGCGTGTATAGGACTCTGAGGGGGGGACTCTCCAGATGTGGGTAGTCAAAAGGAAGCAGGGCATATCCAGCCCATACCAGCAGGGGGAAGAGGAGCGCTCCAGCCACCGTGGATAAAACCAGCCCTAGCTTCTCACTGCAAACACCCCCGCACACATCTGAGGAACAGAAGCACACCCAGTAATCATTAAAGAAAGAAATTCAACATAAGAGAAAAAAAAAGGCTTAATCAGCTATAAATTGTTTGAATAGGTAGGAACCAATGCAGCCTGAGGGACGATTGAAAGGTGAACACCAGCAAGTATGAATAACCTATGGACTAATAAACTGCAACAAGATATTCAGGAAATATTTTTACTTTTCAATATTACACTAAAATTAGATGTACCTCATTAGATGTTGACTGAAAAAAAATACACATTTTGATCTGATCAGGGTTTATACATAAATGAGTAACTGTTATTTAATGCATTGTAATGCTCTTAAAAATAATCTTAATGCCATCAACAAGTACCCATGACTTGTATGTATATGTATATATATATATATATATATATACATACATACAAGGCAAAATCCTTCGTCATCTTCACCATGGCCAGGCTGCAGCCATGTCCCGAGTTCCTCGTTTTCCCGCTACTTTGGTTCAAATTAGCATTTTTTCCCTCATTCTCTAGCCTTCTCTCCACCTCAAGCTTCTTTTCGATTATCAAATTTAATGAATTTTAATGCCAATTAAGGCCTTAATTAAAAAAATTATAATTTAATGACTTTTAATGATTTTTAATGACCCGTGGAAGCCCTGCTGATGGTGCTTTTGGTTAAAAACATGACAGCAACGTGTCCAAGAGAACAAAACACCAAACAAAACAAAAAGAAAAGGTGCAGATAAATAATCTGCTAATGTTGGCTGGCCGATATTTATTCTGATTATTTATTAAGCATGATAGACTGATCCCAGCTAACACAGCCTTCATAAGACAGTGGTTTCTTTTTAGCGCCAGCACATGCTTACCAAGGTGAAGAAATCGCTTAAAGTCACCAACTTACCTCAGTTCTACTAACTTCAAAATCACTGGATTATATAATTTGACTGGAATTGCATCAGGCTTAAAAAAATAAACAGGCCTGAAAGCAGTAAAAAGTGTCAAACTAATACACCTTTTATTGTTAGTCTTGATGACTGTGGTATTAGATTGTGTCAGCCACTCACAGTACTCGTCCGGTTGATCTTCCCACTCAGAGCTGAACTGTGCAGCAGGGTCATACTCCATCGGCACCTGCCTCTCCACCACCTGCTCCCCGAGGTCCCGGTTCTCCTCCGGCTGCTCCTTGGCATTTGGACACACAATCATGACATGTGGGGTGAAACCCATAGAAGGTTTCTCTGAAATCCATACTGTATCCGCTTCCTCCTCATCGTCCTCATGCTCATCGTCTGCGAGTGAACCGTCCTCTTTGCTGTGCCTCTGCAGCTCAATCTCGTCGTCCCTCCACCTTTCACCCTCAGGCATGCTCTCTCTCCACTTGTTCCTACCATCAACCTCCTCTTGGCTTCGCTCCTCTGAGAGATCCTGACTCTCCCCCTGACTGATCCCAGTGTCCCTCTCCTCAGACCCAAATAGATCTTCTTTCTGTTCCAACTGCAGCTTCTTGTTTAAATCTCCAGGATACGGTAAAGTGGTCGCCTCAAAATGTGCTGATTTTGCCATTTCCTCCTCCTCCTCCTCTTCGTCTTCATCATCTTCTTCTTCTTCATCTGTAGTCTCGGTTCTCTCCCCTTCAGTGGTGTCACTGTCTTGTGGCTTTTGACCTTCGGCTGTTTTTGGTTTTTCATTTGAATCATCAGGTTTTGAAACCTCTAAATCATTCAAACGACCCACTGTGCCTCCTTGGTCAGCCATTGTGAAAGTCCAATTTGATTTATTTCTTAAGAGTCAGTATCCAGCAACAATAACAACAGCCTTGCTGTTTCTAATGACTCCTTCTGTCTAAAGAAGCCATTTTCAGATTCAGCAATCCTAGAAAAGTTCCTGCAAAGAAAAGAACAACAAGCTGATTGAGCCTAACAATGCAGCCAAAGTTCAATGTTTGACATGGGTGTGTTGCTCTACATGGCGGATCCTGCCCTTAACACAGGACAATCCCGTTTATACAGCAGGTTTCAGTCTCTGCAGCTTTGATTTAAGACCCCGAGAACTTATCTCTAAAGGAGATTTAGAAAAGTCATTAGAAAATAAAGAATGACAAAGAAAAATGTGAGAAACTATAGAAATCAAAACGAGCAACCTCCTTTTCCATTACTGAATAAAGCAAAAATAAATAAATAATTAAATAACACACTGCAAGGTTAAATGCAAACAAAACAAAAAAATTACTTTTTGGTAATAATTTGACTTCAATATTATCGAATCATTTGGAGTTAATATCAATATATCAGTTTCATTCCCAAGATTCAGTCTTTTAATTTATTTTTTAATAATAATTAGTAACAAATATTCAATGTAAACATCTATTTAAAGCCTGAAACTATAAAATAGGTTCTATTTAACTCCATGGGTGGTAAAATTAATGGTTGCACTTCATAAATATGTTAAAAATCTTGTTTAAGACTATTTATAGTAGTAATATGTGTTTCACTTCTTGTTTACCATTTGTATTGACGCCAAGCTTTTGGCTTAAAGCAAGTTACTCAGAAAAGACGACTTTCAGCAACAAGTAACTAAATATCAAACATAATTAGAGCAGCTACCTGGTTTTAGTCTGTTCACATCGCTAAAAACTTCGTTAAACTTTGTTTACGTGTGTTTGTTCGTGTCTTAATCTAAACTTTAAGCTAAAACGTACCTGTCAGGTGAGAAAATGCGGCTTTCATCGAAGAGCGGTTAATGTGAAGAGGTATCACTCTGTAGGATATCCTGCGTTCCGAAAACGTCATCACGTAATGACGCGACGTTCAGTTGAAAAAAATGATAAAAATGATTATTAAAACTATGAAAATTGAAAATAAAAGACAGGATTTACTGAAAACAACAAAACGAGAAATACAGTTAGTGGAAATCTTACTGCTCATACTATTTAAAATAATGTGTTTCTGAAAAAAAAATCTTTGTAGATTGTAATCTTAAAAATAGTATTTATCATCACAGGAAATGAACTGTGACATGTAGGTCCCTATTTTATTTTTTAATCACAGAAGTCTGTGTTCTTCTTAAAATAATCCCCGATTTAAACTATTATAAGAAAGCTAAAATGCCCTCCACAATTATGATACCAAAGAAAATTCATACAATTCATTGATTTTTATTTCTCTTTTGTTTTAAATGTTTCCTATTTTGGTGGAATAACTATAAAACATGATATAAGTACTCATATAATTACACATACATGCAGATTTAGTTTTGATTTAACGAGTTTCTTGGGATTTTAATTGCTAATCCAGAGCTTCTTTTATTCCCTGGTATAAAATATGGGGTGACAAAGAGGCTAATTTCTCATAGTCAGAATACAATGTGAGAAAAACAAAATAACATGAATTCTTTCTTTTAAAGCGAATAGGTGTAGACAGAAGTTGAGAAATGGCAGCAGGAAAATAATTACATAAACCCGATCAGAGCAATAAATAAACAGCTGGATGTCTGATAAACTAAACCACCTAATTGACTTTATTTCAAAATAAATGACTCCTTCATGTCCTATATGTGCCACTTACCTCAGCATTTTTATGGTTAACTCTATTCTTTAGAAAAGCTTAGTTACCCTCTGGGTACGTTAAAATGCTCCTTGGTCAAAGATCTAATTTCTCCACTTCAGAACGATCCTGTTCAGGTAGTTTGAGCACCTGGCATGCGGGCCTCCTAGATGTGTTTCTGCAGATTTTCCAGGCATGTTCTCACCCTGAGGACACTTTAATGAGGACTACAGACATTCTGGCTATATTTTATTTCACAACACTCAAGAGTCTAATCAGATGGACTGGATGAGATTCAGAGTGAAGGATAAAGGGAGATGAGAGGATGTTTAAAATGCTGCTCACCTGGCTGCCATCCACACTGATTTTCCTGTTGTTTAAATGTCCTTCACTTGCCTTGGGTTTTATTGCTCAGTTGTTGAGCAGGAGAGACACAAAGCTTCTCCTCTATTAATCTTTTCTCATTCTGCTAAAATGAATCCAGTACTGCTCCATATATGTTTCTATCAACTTCAACTAACTTTCCTCTATGTGCTGGAGAAAAACAGCATGATACTGCCACCACTCTGCCTTTATGTTGTGGAATTCTCTTTTAGGTACATTGGGGTAGAGGCAGCTGATTCAAAATTAATGCAACACTTCAGTTTTATTAATAAGATATTTAAAAAAGGAGCTTCAATGACTTTTACCAAAATCACCCAAATGTAGTTTCTTTTTGAGCAGAGCAGCTTCTTTGAGATGGTTGTAGCAGCTAGAATACCTTATTGAATTACAAACAGGACTTATTTTGGCTTTCTTCTTGCAGCTCTTCAATGAAAAAACAAAACAAAAGATCAGTGTTTATCTTTGTTATTTTACATTTCAAGGTAGATTTTACAGGAACCAAATGTTTTATGTTCAAACCACTTATACCACAGATTTTCCAGGAAATTATGTTGGTTTTATATCACAGTACAACAAATATTTAAATTACCATCAATTTAAAACATTCATGCACAAGAAAACCCTGCAAATATTAAAACTGACAAGTAACCAAGGAAAGAAGTGATAGCAAGGTACAAGGAGAGGGGAGCAGAAGCTCAGGGGGAAGTTAACAAGGCCAGAGATAGCAGAGGAAAAAAGAAAATAAATTTAGAGATGGCAGGAAAGAAAGCGAGAAAGACAAGAAACTGAAAAAGGCCACGAGAAATTAGGGACACCAGGAAAGAGAATGAAGGTAACAAGAGAATCTAAGTAAAAAGACTGAAGGCCTAAAAAGCTAAGAGGTTCACAGTGAGTGTAAAAATAGGGACAGAAACACACAACATAGACGGTGGGGCATTAAATACTATGGAAACAGAAAAAAAGACCTTATTTTTTATTCGTTTTCCAGACAAAAAGTAAATAAAAATCCAGGATTTGTAGAAACTATGTGAACCTACTGGTTGAAATCTCTAAAATTCTTTGAACAATGTAAATATTTCAAAAAAGCACTTACCGGTATCTGTTTTTTTAAAGTGCATTTTAGCCCAAACCTTTAATTTCAATGTGTAGTGATTCATCTGTCTAGGACACAATCTCTGTCTCATCAGAGGTACAGAGTCCATGGTGAAATCACAAACAGGACTAGTGGGTGTGGAGCTACCAGCAGGCTAATGACACAGGATATGTGTCACCCGCACTGCTCCACAATTATATAGCTGAGGAGTGTTTATATATTCTAAAAATATAAACATAAGAAACAGTAGGAAATAAAATGGCAACATGGACACTTTATTGAAATACAAACAGATTTTCACAAATCACTCTGGAAAAATTCAAATATTCAGCCTTACAAATCCTAATTCCCTCTTAGATTCACAATATCAGTAATAATGTACAACAGACAAAATACCCCAAAACACACATACTGGTTGGTGAAATATGTTAGTCTGAGCTCCAAAAGGACTAAATTATGTAAAAACAAACTAAAAAGAACAATAGAAAGTGAAGCAATAACAGCTACACGCCTAACATTTAAAGACAAAAAACAGTTAACACAGTAGAGTAGATATAAAGGAGAGGAACTCTTCCTTTGTACAGCAGGAAAATGAGATGTGATATTCTGACTGCTGGAGGAATCTACGAACGGACAGTCGGTTAAAATAAAGTACATTCAAAGCTTTGGCACTGAGGCGAAGCAAGAAACCAGGGAATAGTGGACATTTGCATTAAAACAATTGAAAAACTTCATTTCAAAAGTAGCTAAATTAAAGCAAAGCATTTAAATGACATAAATATTAGGAGAAAATAAGGTAAAATTTGGTGTTTTAAAACAATTCTTTAATTTTTCATTTTGAGGTCTTTTTAAAAGTGAATCCTTTGTGGGTTCAATAAATAAAAATCATTTTGGCTACTTTAAAAATGATAGAAGCACACAAAGAAGTATATTCCAAAAGGAAAACCCAAAACATTTAAATAAAATGACGTTTATACCGGGTATTTACTGGGTGGCGCAGCTAGTAGCGCTCTTGCCTTGCAGCAAGAAGGTTCTGGGTTTGACTCCGGGCCTGGGGTCTTTCTTCAGTCATTCTTCTTGTAAATTTAAAGTTTAAAAGAACAAACTGTGTATTATACCTCTACTAATACAACAGTTTTGTTAACACAGTGCATTATGAAACATCTTTTAAGAATTTAAGACATCTGGTCCATTTATTACACAAAACACTTTAGCTTACAATAGAAGGGCAATTGGTCATAAATTTAATATAAATCAATATTTTTTTCTTTACAAAAAAATAATAAAAAAAGAAATACTGCATTTAAAAATACAGGATATTTTTCCTGATTTTCTTTCCCCACATTAGCTCTGTCAGCTCAACACAAATCTAGATCTAGAAGCCAGAGGTCAGTGATCTTATTGTCAAAAACACAGAAATTGTTTATTTTATTCTTAGTTAGTGCTTCAAAGATAAAAAGTATGGGTGCATCAATAATTTTTTGTACTCTGGTGATTATAACTTAATTCAGACAAAAGTTTGAGACAAACTGGAGATGATCTTCCTTCATGTCTGCATCAGTTTCTTTCCTTTTGTGTTACAGTCCTTGTAAAAGAAAAAGGGGAAAAAAAATCTGAATCTACAAAAAAAAGTTTAATTTGTCTTGTTTTATTCTTTGTAACAAAGAGAAAAATAGGCATAAAAATCAGACAACAAAAATTGGCAAAAGTAGATCAGGCAACAACAACAACAACAAAAACATCCAAACAGGTGCCTCATTATAAAACCTAGACAAATCTGTCTACACTTGCTTACCACACTTACCTTTTCACACTTAGTTAACCTGAATAACTTTCAAAAAGCAAATAAAAACCAGTACAGATAACCACTGTGGGGAGAAAGTGGCAGCGCTGCTGGCCATCTAGCCTAGTGAACTGACAGAAGGTGAAACATGTCATCTATGAGTCAACAGTAATGACTGACGCCAATGTTTTGGTCAGACTGAGGCCGTTTCTCAATGTGTGTACTTGTACGTTCTCATGTGCTCGTGAAACGTCATCAGCCTCAGACCTAGCGTTGTTTCAATTCACAAGAACACAAGACCGAGAACAGACACAGACCCTGGATGTTGTTCTCGCCCCTCCCTCTTTACAGAGTACGTATCAGAGCAGAGTCGTCCGTTCTCGAGATTCCCAGCTGTCCCAGCATGCACTGCGGCAGCAGCAGCTTCAAATGGACCGCTCACAGAGCTCAGAGTATTAAAAGTTCACTTTTCTGTTGCCGCTGTTCTATAAATGTTTTAAGATCATTTTAAGGTGAAAAATTATACTTTTAAGAGCCACTATATGGTCCATTTACTGATTTAGTGCGTGATAAAAAAAAAAGTTCCAATGTTGAGAGGAACTTGGCAGCCAGTGGACCTCCGGGGCTAGCCGCTGCCGGGGCTAACTTTAGCCCGTCTGCAGCAGCCTTCTCTTGGCAAAGCCCAGGGTGAAGTACCACTGGCTCTGTTGGCAAATGTTTTGTTTCATTTGGCAAAGTGTTTATTTGATTTTTGTTTATCTGACTGTGTTATTATTCCTCTACTACATGAAAAAAGTAAGAATTTATTATTATCTGGAGACTATTAATAGCAGTTCGACTCCTAACGAGCCGAACGTGTGGTGATGTCACGAGTACGCTTCTGTTCCAATTGATCCATATTTATGCTGCGTGCTCCCATTCTCCCTCCAGACTTTCCTGTGTTCTTGTCAAGAACATACTTGGCGAGAATGAGAGTTGATACTCGCATTCTACTGAATTGAGAAACGGCCTGAGTCTTTTATCAAGCCTCCTCACTAAGTTCAATGCTAACATCCTGAACCAGGACAGTTTCTTCCGTTTCATCCGTGTGCTTCGTGGGTATCGACTCTGCCTCTGTCAGCTCTTGCTCCATTTCCATGCCGACGGCGGGACACTCGCTCTCGGGCTTGGAGTGGTTTGGAAGCACATGGTCGGCATGTGATTCGCCCCCTGCTTTGTTTTTGTTGAGCGAGCCTTTAGGGCGGCCCCTTTTCCGAACGACCCCCTCATCACTCTTTGGGGTTGTCGGAGGGCGGCCCCTTTTCCTCTTTAGTCCATCGACTGGGGCACGTGCAGAGGATGGACTGAGCGCTTTCTTTCGTAAGTGAGCACCTTTCTTGGACTCTGACTTGCGGGGCCTACCGCGGGCCCTTCTAGGTGCCGGTGATGCTTCCTCTGGAGGATCGGCTCTAGGATATTTCCTCGGCCTTCCCAGGGGTTTCCATACTTTAGGCTTCTTCAGCTCCTCTGGTGAGGGTAAAGGATACTTCCGTGGTCTTCCTCTCTTGCCTGGCTGTAACCGCGGTCGACCAGGCTTCCTCCCTTTTACAGGAAGACTGAATATTTTACGAGGCCTTCCCACCTTACCATGCGCTATCAATGAAGACGGCTTCTTATTCAGAGAGCCTTTTGGCCGACCTCTTCCCCTCTTCAATGGCTCAGAGATATACAAGTTTTTCCTTGGTCTCCCTCTTCCTCTCCCAGGTTTCTTTGAAATGGTCTTGGAAGGCCCACTGCTGTACTTCACCACAGGCTTCCTCGGTCGACCTCTCAATGTCTTCACTGATTTCTGAGCTCTGTAGGCTTCTGCATCCCAATCGCTATATTCCCGTTCCATCCTTGATTTTTTATTGCGAGCTCCTTTAGGTCGGCCTCTTTTCCGAGGTGTAACTGGGCTACATTCATCTTCCTCACCGCTTGTTAAGCTTTCAGACTTGCGCTTTACCGATCCTTTTGGACGGCCTCTTTTTGGAGCATCTGAGCTGCCGTTTGGTATGCCTTCAGCAACAGGTTTCTTAACAGAGTCTGATTTTCTTGGCCGTCCTCGTTTCTTTGGGGAGAGTTCTGTTTCAACCGTTTCTTCACTACTAGTTTGCTTCTTGGACCCTTTTGGTCTTCCTCTGCGCTTGTGAATTGTAATAGAGCTCTCAGTGAGCTCTTCCCCAGACTCCTGCTGCTCTGTCGCTTTTGTTTTAAATACTTTTTGGCCTTCTCTTCCCCTCTGTGACGGGCTGTCTGAATCATCCTGGATCAGCTCTGCAGCAGAGGCATTTTTTTGTTTGGAACTCCGTGGCCTGCCCCTTCCCCTTTTGACTGGACCTTTTTGGATGACGTCGCCGTCAGCCTCCCCTTTGGAAACTGGCTCCTCTTGTTCCACCTCAGCCATTATTGCTTCTTCCTCCATGCCGCTTCCTTCAGCTCAGCCCTCCTTGGTCAGTATCCTTCTGTTCACTGACACAAAAGGTTAAAGTTAAAACCCCAGCAATAAGTAGTTAATGCTTTTATGTAGTGATTTAATGTTTATTCCACATATTCAGGGTTCTGAAAATGTTATTTTCATATTTCCACATTTTAATATAACTGTATGTTTTCACTAAAATGTAACTGTTGCCTAGCTTGGCTTTTATAACATGCTTCTACTAAGCCAATAAAGAAACTGGTGATGCTGGCTTTACATTTAGCATCCTGGTGAAAGACCTTTATTGAAAGACCCGTTTTTATTTTTTAATTGGAAGATTCTAAACTTTTATGGCCAAATGTTTTTAGAGTGCATGAGATTGTGGACATATGAGCACAAATAATGTTGGTCAGAAAATGAAAAACAGAAATATGAAATAAATTAAATGAATTAAATAAAATATGGAAAATGCATATTTTTAAATCTTGGTAGTTTTTTTTATATTACTTAAAATAATTTTAAAGAAAAGCAAAAAAAAAAAAAACAGTTCTCAATTATGTCTTTAGTTTGATATTCACCTTAAAAGTAACATTTGAACAGTAGAGGGCAGGTTAGTCCCTCACTTTTTTCAAGCTGATATCTCTATAGAATAACATGGTTTACTGTTTTTACTGAATGTTTTGATTATTTTCTAGATTTTCACAATCTACAGTGGTGCCAAAAAGTATTTAGTCAGCCTCTGATTGTGCAAGTTCTCCTACTAAGAATAATGAGAGAGGTCTGTAAGTTTCATCAAAAAAGAAATATTATTTACAATAATATTTCTTTTTGACTCAGGCTATCAGTTATTTAAATCTACCCAAATATATGTGACAGGTCAGTTTACTGGAAATAAAATAATATACATATTTTTGTGAAGTTTTAATGTACCTTAGTGAACATCTTATGTCCTCTAGGTCTGAGTAAATAAGGACAGGGGTGTTTATACCACTTCATATTTTGTTAATTATCAGTACATATTAGGAAAACTAATACATACTTTAATATTAAATATTTTTAATTTAAATGACATTTATTATTTAAATAAAATCTTGTAAATAATTATTTAAGGTACTTTGTTGTTACTTAGTTTAACACATATATTACTATATAAAGACATAACAGTTGCCCCGCCTATAATAGCTCAATTGCAGTTTATTATTCCCTCATTGCGTTTCCCCCTTCTACCAAAACGAGCAAAAGGCGCCCTCTACCGGCAGAATGCTAATATTAAGGTGGACCTCCATTTGTAAAGCAAACTGTAACTAGGAAGTTCGGGTTGCTTATCAAAGGGCTCGGTGTATTTCCTGGTTTACAATCTAATAACGGCGGGAAAGTCCACAGGCTTCCAAATCAATACAATGAATTCAACAACAGCAGGAAAGATGTTTCCATTTTCAGTATGCATACGAACAAATAGGAATATCTGCAACATGCACAGAAAATCATAAATGTGTCTTTTAAATATTTTTATTTTATTTTAAAATATGTCTGTAATAAAAGCGTTGACTACAGATTAGATTGTTTTCCGGGTATTAGCTAGCGCCAAAACCCGTCTGCTGTAGATAAAGATGTAAAGACGCAACAAGGCTGCAAACCACAGGGTGCATATATCACGTGAAACACGAAACTAGTTAGACTTTAATTTATTTTTTCTCTAAATATATATTCAACGGACATACCGTGAACTGAAGGTGCTCGTTATTTGTTGCTGTGATGGCTGTTCCCGCTGGTCCGTTGTATTTTAGATTCTGAAGGAAACAAATGCGCTACATCTTTAGTTCCTGATCGAGAGCCGCTTTGAATACGGGAAGAAGATGGCTCATAGCGCCCTACTTTATATGAACAAAACGACATAAAATAAGGATTACAGTGGCAAAATTACAAAGAAACTACAGGTTAAGATCAAAACACCCTAAAACAAAATACCCTTTTCTATAATATGTATATAATATGTATATGGATTTCCTTAATTTTTCACTATGATTAGATTCAGAATCAGAATATTATACTTGTACACAGGTATCAGTCAGAGGAACAGTAAAGCACACACATACATTCACATATATATATATATATATATATATATATATATATATATATATATATATATATATATATATATATATATATATATATATATATATATACACTATATTGCCAAAAGTATTTGCTCACCCATCCAAATTATTGGAATCAGGTGTTCCAATCACTTCCATGGCCACAGGTGTATAAATTCAAGCACCTAGGCATGCAGACTGTTTTTACAAACATTTGTGAAAGAATGGGTCGCTCTCAGGAGCTCAGTGAATTCCAGCGTGGAACTGTGATAGGATGCCACCTGTGCAACAAATCCAGTCGTGAAATTTCCTCGCTCCTAAATATTCCACAGTCAACTGTCAGCTGTATTATAAGAAAATGGAAGTGTTTGGGAACGACAGCAACTCAGCCACGAAGTGGTAGGCCACGTAAACTGACGGAGCGGGGTCAGCGGATGCTGACGCGCATAGTGCGAAGAGGTCGCCAACTTTCTGCAGAGTCAATCACTACAGACCTCCAAACTTCATGTGGCCTTCAGATTAGCTCAAGAACAGTGCGCAGAGAGCTTCATGGAATGGGTTTCCATGGTCGAGCAGCTGCATCCAAGCCATACATCACCAAGTGCAATGCAAAGCGTCGGATGCGGTGGTGTAAAGCACGCCGCCACTGGACTCTAGAGCAGTGGAGACGCGTTCTCTGGAGTGACGAATCGCGCTTCTCCATCTGGCAATCTGATGGACGGGTCTGGGTTTGGCGGTTGCCAGGAGAACGGTACTTGTCTGACTGCATTGTGCCAAGTGTAAAGTTTGGTGGAGGGGGGATTATGGTGTGGGGTTGTTTTTCAGGAGCTGGGCTTGGCCCCTTAGTTCCAGTGAAAGGAACTCTGAATGCTTCAGCATACCAAGACATTTTGGACAATTCCATGCTCCCAACTTTGTGGGAACAGTTTGGAGCTGGCCCCTTCCTCTTCCAACATGACTGTGCACCAGTGCACAAAGCAAGGTCCATAAAGACATGGATGACAGAGTCTGGTGTGGATGAACTTGACTGGCCTGCACAGAGTCCTGACCTCAACCCGATAGAACACCTTTGGGATGAATTAGAGCGGAGACTGAGAGCCAGGCCTTCTCGTCCAACATCAGTGTGCGACCTCACAAATGCGCTTCTGGAAGAATGGTCAAAAATTCCCATAAACACACTCCTAAACCTTGTGGACAGCCTTCCCAGAAGAGTTGAAGCTGTTCTAGCTGCAAAGGGTGGACCGACGTCATATTGAACCCTATGGATTAGGAACGGGATGTCACTTAAGCTCATATGTGAGTCAAGGCAGGTGAGCAAATACTTTTGGCAATATAGTGTATATATATATCATGCCATATTTTTCTTATTAAAATTTAGTGATTTTTTTTATTTCTTTTTTTTTTTAAGGAAATGGCATAAAAAGTTTTCCGAGACAAAGCTGGTCAGTATTCCTGCCAACAGGCCAACAGTAACACTTGAAGGATCTGCAGCAATTTCTGAGAAATATTTTCTCCCTGTAATCTACAGTATATTTTTTCCTGTGTCTAAGTGAAGGAGGAAGGTTGTATTGCAGGTGCATTAAAATAAATAAATAAATAATCCAAGTCTTGCTGTAATCTCCAAGGACTATGTGGGAAAATATGCTCTGAAACTGGAAATATTTGGGCTACATTCCCAAAATGTAATCCTGGTACAAAACAGTGCATCACTAAAAGAACAACATGTCCTCAGGTGCAGGCAGGGGAACCTTCTCTTGTTGGAGCTGGCATTTTTTATTGAAGTGGATACTAGGGACACCGTCAAGTACCAGTCATCTCTGACCCAAACCTTTAGCGGGATTTTATTTTACAGTCTCACAGAGAGTCCAATGATCCACATACACAAAATAATGGTTGGGAAAAAACAACAAAAAACAGCTAAAAATCTGTAAAGTCCCCTGAATTTGACTGTCCTCACAGTAACAGATCTAAAGAACCTTTACAAGGCAAATATAAAAGTCTGACTGGATTCTAAAAACTAGTCAAAAAGTACTTTTAAAATTGTTAGTTTAATTGTGAGCATAATCTGAAGTGAATGTGTCCATCTAAATATTTGCTAAAATCAGAATCACTCTTTTCTTGCAGTGCAGTTATTTACAAGAGAGAAAACTATGGTTGCAAGTAAGAATAAGATATAAGAATAAAATTTTATATGGATCAGAATAAAATAAGGATCACATTATATATACAATTGAAAGTATTTACAATTTACAATGCTGCTCAGTACCAGATTACAATTATTGCACATGACCATGTTATTACGCATAGTGAAGTAAACCTTCATGACTAAATGATAAAAGAAAAACCTGGAAGAAAATTTCTGTGACTTGAAGTTATGATGTTATTTAATACTTTAGCACATTCTTACATTACAAAGAAAGGAGTTCAGACCGTTATTTTAAATATGGCATCATTTTATTGATGCTTGGTTGGCCTTTTTTCAGCACATGGCCATAAAGTTCTATTCAAATCATATCGATCAGCTGGAGATTCTGGACTGGGCCATCACCACACCTTGAGTCTATTGTTTTTTAAATTCTTTCTAATGCATATTTACCTGATGCTTTCCCAGACCAAACTTAAGATGTGAAACAAAAATATTCACATTAGTAGCTACATATGCAGAGGTCATGTTTACTTTTGTTTTTGATTATGATAGAGTTAATTTCTCCAGAAACTCATCATTAAATGCGCTTTTGTCTATGGCACATTGTTTCCTAATGGTCTGTCTTTTTTTAAATGCAACTTTTCCATTTCGTTGATTGAAAAAATAGATATAAAAAATTAAACATTAAATGTGTACAGAAAGAGACAAAACAAACTACTGAGAAAGGTCGCTTCTGTCCTAGGCTGCACTCTGGACTCAGTGGCGGAAGTGGCCGAGTGTAGGTTGCTGTCCAAGCTTACATCGATCATGGACAACACCTTCCACCCTCTGCACTAGACTGTAGAGGAGCTAAGCAGCTGCTATAGTGAAAGGCTTTTACACCCCGTTTGTAAAAAGGAACGCTACTGCAGGTCATTCATCCCTGCTGCAACCAGACTCTACAATGCGACGCTACAACGGCAATAATTTGTGCAATGTATGATGTACAATTACTATTTGGTACCCTGTGCAATAACCTGTTTCTCTATGGTTGACACCCAGTGTAATAACTATTTATATGAATATCAATATTCATCTATATAAATACCCATGTAAAACACCCTGTGCAATAACCTTGTATAATGATCCTACTATAAAAAAAAATAAAATAAAAAAAGCTGTCACATGTGGATGCACTGTATATACTGTATATATAAAGTCAATCAATCAATATAAATTAAATAAAGATAACTTCAAACTGTATTGTGATGAATTTTGAATTTGGTAAAGAAACAGAGCCCTGTAGAGTCTAGGACTGAGCAGGATGGAAAACGATGAAATGGCAGTCAAAATTGGCCTTCAACAGTGTTCTGTTCAATTCAAATCAATTTGAATCATTAACCTGAAAGAGAAATTAAATGTTGTAGTTGCTCATAGGGATTTTACAACCATTCATTGTAGATGTTGATAGCTGTAGGTCAGAAAGATCTTCGTCTTGCTCCGATATGAAGAAGCTTTGGACTAAAGACACTCTGTTGTTGTTCAATGGTCTTCTAAAGATGATGCCCACAGTTTTCCATAATGTTCTTCATTTTATGAAGAATTGTTCTTTGTGAAAAACTCTCCAGAGGTTCAAGAGGAGGTCCTAGAACAGAGCCAGCATTCTTTATCAGCATGTTAAGCTTTTTAAATAATTTGCTCTGATTATGCTACCCCAGAAGATGATGGATGAATAGATCACACTCTTCACTAGGGCTGCAACTAATGATTATTTTGCAAATCAATTAATCTTTCAAATATTTTTTCTATTATTAATCAGATAGGAAAAGTTTCCTTAAACAAGTCTTTTTACAAAATAAAACTAGGTGGAACTAAAACTTTTCCAGTTGAGGAGTTCAGGATAGAGCATATTGATGGATGAAATTTATCTTGAATGCAAAATGTTATTATACAATTTTGGTATAAATGCTGCTCAAGGTGGGTCACTCTGTCACCTAATGACACGTTTTAGAGTTTCTATACTTTATAAATTGATTAATCATGATTTATCTGAGTAATTGTTTCAGCCCTAATCTCCACAACGGACTTATAGAAAATATACAGCAGGACCTAAGCTTCCTCAAGAAGGGCAGTCTGCTCTGTCCCTTATTCTGGACAGATTCCCAGTTGAGTCTCCAATCGAGTGTTGATGTGAACACCGAGGTATTTATACTCCTTCACCACCTCCGCTTCTTCTCCCATGCCATTGATAGCATTTGTTTTGTTCCTGTTTCATCTGAAATCTACAATCATTGCCCTTGTTTGTTGATATTCAGGATCAGATGACTGTATCCACACCATACCACAAAGCGGTTTAGTAGCTCTTTATACTCAGCTTTTTGTCCATCTCTGATGCCCCCAATCATGCAGAGTCATCCGCGTTTTTCTGCAGATAACAGGAGTTTTTCTTGCACTGGAAGGCAGAGGCGTAGAGGGTAAACAGGAATGTCGAGAGTACCGTCCCCTGTGGTGCTCCTGTGTTGCTGACTATCTGATTAGACAGGTCCTGATAGCTGCTAGTTTGTTTGCCTGGATGTCAGGGCAACAGATCATTTAGGATGTTTGGCTGAGTTTTCTTTGGTACTGAAAAAAGCAGGAGGTCTTCCACAT